CTCAGCCTCCCAAGTAGCTGGGACTACAGGTGCCCGCCACAATGCCTGGCTATTTTTTTTGGTTGCAGCTGTCATTGTTGTTTGGCGGGTCCGGGCTGGATTCAAACCCGCCAGCTCAGGTGTATGTGGCTGGCACCTTAGCCAGTTGAGCCACAGGTGCCGAGCCAGCTTTTCCTTTCTTAAAATAAGTATGTACTTTTTGGCACCCTCTGTGTATGCTTGGATACATTTGCCTTAAATGAAGTTGTGGAATGTTTTTTGGCTATTTTTATGATCTATTAAAAACATAATTAAGACCTTGTATTTTTTTTTTTTTTTGAGACAAGAGTCTCACCATGTCGCCCTCAGTAGAGTGCCGTAGCAGCACAGCTCACAGCAACCTCAGACTCTTGGGCTTAAGTGATTCTCTTGCCTTAGCCTCCCAAGTAGCTGGGACTACAGGCACCTGCCACAGTACCTGACTTTTTTTGTTGTAGTGTCATTATTGTTTAGCAGGCCTGGACCAGGTTCAAACCTGCCAACCCAAGTGTATGTGGCCAGTGCCCTTCCCACTGAGCTCTGGGCACCGAGCCAAGACCCTGTATTTTTGTATTGTCTTTTAACTCTATGGTGAAAAAAGCACCAATTTCTGAAATTCACTAAAAACAAACCTTCCTTTGTTGGTCAAATTCGAGCAATGCCTTTAGTGGTTTTAACTTCTTCCATCTTTTTTTTGAGACAGTCTATGTCGCCCTGGGTAAAGTGCCATAGCATCACAGCTCACAGCAACCTCAAACTCTTGGGCTTAAGTGATTCTCTTGTCTCAGCCTCCCAAGTAGCTGGGACTACAGGTGCCCACCACAACACCCGGCTATTTTAGGGGGTGTAGTTGTCATTGTTGTTTGGCAGGCCTGGGCTGAATTTGAACCCGCCAGCTCTGGTGTTATGTGGCTGATGCCCTAGCCACTGAGCTAGATGCCGAGCCAACTTCTTCCATCTTAAAGCTTTTTTGAATACTTTTGTGGGGGTGGAGTGGGCCTGAAATAGCTAAAAATGTAACTGAAAGGAAGGAGAGAGCAGGAGCAGCTAGATAATCACATAACTGAAAACTGACTTGGGGTAAGGGTTTCTCCCTTTTGTTCTTGAATAACATCTCTACATCCAATTTCCTTAAAAAATGAACAGAATTTCATGAACTCATAAATTATTGGCTGTAGTATTAACATTCTAGAAAAAAATACAAGCAGCTTGGTATAAAAAGTTAAACTGCTTTCTTCATCTACCAAAATCCAAAGTAAGATAAAACTAAAGGCAATTTACTACCTTCATTGAAATGAATATATATAGTCTCCAATTTATAGATGTTGTAGTCTCAAGTTCAAGGACAACTGGAAATTAGAATGTGGTTTCCACAAAAACAGTAATATGAACAATGAGTCAGGGGTTCCAGATGGTTCAACACTGCAATACTTTCCAAGAACAGTCTTTGTTAGATTTCAGTAATACAAGACTTTTATTAGCAAAGGGAATGTATTCCAATACTTATTACTCTATCTTGATATAAAATTAGAAAACAAAGAGATGTATCACCCCTTAAACAAGAGGGCTATTGATTGAAAAAAAAAAATCTTAAAATGTCCCACATAGAGAAAATGTGGCCTTCTTTTTATTTTTGGCCAGGGCCAGGCTTGAACCCGCCACCCCGGGTATATGGGGCCAGTGCCCTACTCCTTGAGGCACAGGTGCCACCCAGACGTGGCCATTTTTAGTTAAGGTTGGTTGAGTTACTGTGCAGTGTCAGGTTCTCTTTCTGATGCAGCAGGGTTCAGAAATGGTAGGCTCCTCTACAGCTGGTGAGAAAGACCCATTGCTTTGCCTCCTAAATCACTATCACCCCAGCATCAGCAACACTAGTCAGGGGTCAGGCAAAAAAAAAAGGACTATGCAGTCATATCTGATGCCCTTTTCACAGCTCTCCTACTGTCTTATCTACTTGCAAATGGCAGCATTTTAGCCCTTTCCCCTCATTTAGAAATAAAATGCAAATACCTTCCTCAGATAAAACACTGTGTAGGGCCAGGCACTATGGCTTATGCCTGTAATCCTAGCACTTTGGGAGGCAGAGGGAGGAGGGCTGCTTGAGTCTAGGAGTTCAAGATCAGGCTGAACAAAAGCAAGACCCTATCGCTACAAAATACAGAAAAATTAGCTAGGTGTGGAGGCACATATCTGAAGGCTCAGCTACTCAAGAGGCTCAAGGAGGAGGATCAGTTGAGCTCAGGAGTTGAGTTGTAGTAATTTACGGTTACAACACTGCACCCTAGCCTGAGAGACAAGAGCAGGACTTTGTCTCAAAATACAAAAAAAAAAAAGACAGTGTGGACTTCGAGTAAATGTGTAATCAATCACATTTTTCTGAGAAGACAGTATCAGCCATTTGGAAAGGGAGAGGGAGAGGAAAAGCTAGGGAATGACTCACAGGAAAAAGTAAAGGACACAGACAGTGAAACTGAGGCTCCAAGTCTTGCTTAGTGTCAGCATAGTGACCTGCACCTGAGCAAGCCCACATAAATGCAGGCACACATTTGCATGGAGTTCTTTGGCGTGGAATTAACAAAAGCACTGCTACTTCATGTAACAAATTACAGTTAACATACAACATAACTAGCTTGTACTTGTATAAAGGAGCTTCTCTGTCAGGCACTCAATTAAGGAACTTAAACATTGTGTCTGGGAAAACAAGTACAAACCTACTTGTAGGAGGAAGTAGAAGGCTTCTAATTTTCCTAGGCACTGAGCCAGTCTGCAAGAAACTTTCAAAATAAGCCATCTGTAAACATCCAGAGCCTTCATACAACCTTTAGCCAGATAGCGCTACCCAGTACCCCCAAATGCCCAATATTCCTTAAAACTCACCTATTCTCTCCTTTCTTATTTCTACCCCTATCAAAACTTCCTTTTTCTCAGAGAAGGTAGGGTAGGGGCTCCAGTAAGTAACAGAATCTCTTAAAACAACAAATAGTGGGCAGAGCCTGTGGCTCAGTGAGTAAGATGCCGGCCCCATATACCGAGGGTGGTGGGATGGAACCCAGCCCCAGGCAAACTGCAACAACAACAAAAAAGCCAGGTACTGTGGCGGGTGCTGTAGTCCCAGCTATTCAGTCAGGAGGCTGAGGCAAGAGAAT